TTTTTTTTTTTTTTTTTTTTTTTTTTTTTAATCGTGCAATCGAAACCGATTATCACGATTTTTAATATACTTATATAAGTGTAGTATTTTTTCACTTATAATAATTTCTTATTTAAAATAATAAAGAAAAAGAATATGTAAAAAAAAAAAAAACAACTGTGTGATCTCACGAAAGAAAAAAAGACTTTCCTACGACGAAAACGTTACGAATAATCGAATTATAATAAATCGATAAGGATATTTCTTATTTCGTTAATTTTTTCGTTATCTTCGTTTTACTTATCTCGAAGATCTTAGTAATAATTACAACAAGGTGACGAAAGATTTTTACCAACGGTAGCAAAAAAGAAGTGTCACTCGTACAAAGATGATAACTATCGTTCTAATTCGCGCTTGCACATTTTTCTCAATGCACGCATAATTAATATATATATATATATGTATGTATGTATATATATATATATATATAATGTATAAATAAATAATTACATGTATATTTGTGTATACACATTACATATACTAAAAGAGAAACACACACACACACATACATATACACTTGTACACACAAAACGAGATAAAGTCAGAGAGAGAGACAGATACACAAAGTTATATATGTACATTATATCGAAGGCCCTTTGACAAATGATTGATGACAATATTTTTTATCCTTCTTCTTGCTGCTGTTCGTGAAAATTTTGGCTGAATGTCAGACCGCATTGTCCAATTCTCTCCCTCGTTTATTTTCATTTAATATTTTTCATTTTTTTTTTTCCTCCTATGATCATTTTTCTTACTTACTTTTTATTCGTTCAAAATTTTCTCACACATATATTTCTTGATATATATATATATATATATATATATATATATGTGTGCGTATATATACACTTACAATTTTAAACACACATAATTTATACGTTTAACTTCATATATAAAATGTTTCATTTGCAAATTGATTACATTTATAATAAACAAGGGAGACGATAATGTTTTTTTTTCTTCTTGTGTTTTGTATGTTGCACATGCGCATTGCTGACATCCGGCCAATAAAAAGCCGCGAGGATAAATGGAATTGCCTGCTGCTGCGGCAAGAAAAAACGCACTGACTATTTTAGCGAATCGAGATTCGACCATGTACCTTGATATATATATACATATATATATATATATACTTTTAGTGAGAGAAAAAGAAAAAGAAAGAGAAAGGGAGGAAGAGAGAGAAAGAGAGAGAGAGAATGAACATATGTTGCATTTGTACGTGTTACTGAAAGTGAGAGAAAATGGCGAGCGTGCCAAAAGTAAGAGCAAGAAAATATGTGTGTGTATGTGTGTGAGAGTGTGTGTATGTACATGTGAGAATGAAAATAAGTTTACATTAAATATATATACATATGTAGTAAAATAGAAGAGAGCTTTCTGCTCTAAAAAATAACACATTTTCGATATACACGTACTAATATATGTGTTAGAGGGAGAGAAGAGAGAGAAAGAGAGAGAAAGAGATAGTGATCGATAAAATATAAAAATAATGAACGAAGAATGAGTCCTTTTAAATACTCCGTCGAGAAACGAGCATTGTATGTATTGTATGCGTGCACATGCGAGCAAAGTAATACGTCATTTAATCACATATACATATAGAAACGATAAGGATTGAAGATATATGAAAATAACAAAATAAATAAATAAATAAATAAAGAAAGATTGATTGATTATTCGCAAGAGAGGTTTTTTGTTTTTAATAAAAAGATAACGTTAGATTCAGATAAAGGAAATCACTTTGCTCGCGTGTTTGCGTATTTATCTTCTCTTATTACTTTTATTTTATTTTATTTTACTTTGTTTTTTTTTTATTATTATTATTATTATTATTATTATTTAATATGTTAAACAGTAAAATTGTGCGTAAGAAGTAAGTGCGTGTTCCGATTTTTGCTTACTTCATCCCTATACTTTCCTCTAACCCCACGATACTCCGGAAAAATAATAAGTAATAATAATAATAATAATAATAATAATAATAATAATAAGAAATAAAAAAACGAATTATAAAAGACAAAGGAGAAGAAAACATATTGGGGCGCACGCACGCGTGTGTTTCATAATCAATTAATTATAAAAAGAAAAGAAGGATGATACGAGACAAAACAAAAAATAATAATAAACGGTATACTATTACCTATGTCTTTTTATAAAAATTCTAACGTGAATATTAATTGGAAAATAATACAAAAAAAACATAATATTTCGTTCTTTTAATTTTATCTATCTATCTATGTTTTGAGAGAAATGAGATAATGAGAGATCGTCGTCGTCGTCGTTGTTTCGTTGGTATATAGTTCGTTGACAACGAAAATAACAAAAATAAAAAAAATAAAAAAAAAAAAGATAAAAGTATAAAAAAAAAAAAAGATGTACGACCGTTCGATCGGTTCTCGTTTTAGAGCTAAGGGGAACATTGAACTAACGAAGGTAGAGAGAGAAACAAAGGTCAATGAACTCTCTTACGAACGAACCGACACGTTGACGACGAACTCTCAGAAGAAGAAGAAGAAGAAGAATCCTTTGAAACAAAAAAGGGACAAAAAAAAATAAGCACACGCGTGCGCGCGCTTGCAGTCGATATTTTTTCTTCTCCGTCTATCTGCTATCATCTATTATCTTCTATATACGTTTTATCATTTTATCTTTCATTTCTAAGCGGGTCCACCTATTTAAAACTCTATTGCATCACCCCCCCCCCCTTCCCCCCAAGTCAAAGTTAGAGCCAGAGAGAGAGAGAGAGAGAGAAAAAAAAAAGAGAAATTTGTCGTCTTTGAAAAGTTCTAATAAAGATACAGAAAATACACTGATAAAATTAAATGGTTAATAAACGCACTATTCTACATAACATAACAATTTGTATCTAAATTACAAGTTACAACATTTGTATAAACACACACACACACCACATGATTATATCGCTGTTAAAAAAAGAATATCATTTTGCGTGATTTAAAACAAGGACAAAAATTATAACTACTAATCCATATATAAATATATACATCACCACATATACACGAGCATACACACAAAATAGGCAAACCGAAAGATGCGAAAGAAAAGAAAAGTCTTATTGTAATGATCACACCGTTAATTGTCATCGTTGAGATAATTTGAAAAAATTCATTAAATAAATAAAAATGTATAACTTGGACTTGTTGTGATAAGTACGAGGTTCAAACAAAAAAAAAGTAGCAAAAAAAAACGGAAACAAAAAATCGCGTTTAAAATTGATAATAATAATAATATTGCAGAGAATATATATATAAATATTTCTCTCGTTCTTTTTTTTTTTAAAAGAAGAGAATAAAAAGAAAAACGAAACGATGACAATTGCGGTGTTGGAAAGGAATAAATAACGAAAGAGTGTCGAAAAATGACTTGCTTTAAAAAAGTGAATAAGTGAGAATTTTATCTTTTAAGACGATAAATGCGTGTACAGTTTAGATTTAAAGTGACAATATATATCGAGTCGCTATCTCTGTGATTATAAGTTTTCTCCCACATACACGTTCAAAATTGTTATTGTCCCGTACGATCGGAGCACGATTTTGAACGTTATTGCAATTGTTATCAAATATGAAGTTAACAACTACAACAACAACTACAAGGAAACACAATAGGATAATTAAGGATAGAGTTATAATCAATATATACATATATGTATGTATGTATGTATGTGTATATGTATATATATAAGTATATGTATAAAAAACAACTTATGTAATAGATCCGACTCAAGCGTATTATTATATATATATATATATATATGTACATATATATATAATAATAATAATAATAATAATATTAATAATAATAATATGAATAATAATAATAAATTGTATTAAGCGTGCTCGTTTACACGAGAAAGAAAGAGATAAATGATAACGAAAGAAATAGAACGAAGAAAAGTGTAATAATAATACTAATAATTAATAATTAATAATAATAATAATAATAGTGATGAACAATAGTTACGAAACGAAAACAAAACCATGATCGCGTTTTATGGTATAATGATTGATTGATCGGTTTGTCTGATTAAATAGAAATCACGGATGGATTGTTGTAATAACGGTTTAAGAAAAAAGAAAAAAAAGACGATAATAATTGTAAATATTATAATGAAAATAATACGCACGAACGTGGGGGGGATAAAAGATGATGATGGAAGTTTAGAAAAGAAAGAATGGATGGAACGGAAGAAGATAATTATAAGAATCGAGGGATTGTAAGAAGACAGAGAGAGAGAGAGAAAGAAAGAGAATATTTTGTTACCCGGTGGTGTTGAAGAAAAAAATGTAATAGGAAGATAAAAAAAAAAAAAAAAAGGAAAAAGAAACGTGTACGTTTTTTTCTCACATCGAAAGAAGAAGAAGAAGAAGAAGATAAATTTCTCTGAGCTGGTTCTTTGCAACAAATACAGGGGGTGTCCTACCTCTGCCACAACCCCATAGTTTTTCTCTAAGGATTCAACACAGTAATGGCCGAAAAAAAGTATATACATATATATATATATATATATATATATATATGCTTTATATAAGAGGGGTTCAGTGGGGTGAAAGACAAAGAAAGAGAGAGAGAGAGAACAAAAAAAAAGGAACGACGATATGTATGGGGGGGAGTCGAACACGAAGCAGCAACAGCAGCCTCTCTTTTTGACATATTGGGATAAAGATAAGGGTTGAAAGTGATGAACAAAGGGGGGGAGAAGAAGAAGATGAAGAAGGGTGGCAAGAAGTGGAGTGTGGAAAATACAGGAAAACTCGTCGATAAATGCGCAAGCGCGAGATCCTTTGTCACGAATCTGCGTTGAAGATAAAGTTTGGCGGGGGGCGGAGAGAGAATGATGAATAATGATTTTATTATCAGAAGAGGAAATGGAAGAGAGAAAAGTTGAAGAACAGAATAGAAAACAGAAAGGAAGAGAGAGAGGATCGCGCGTGGTTGCGTTGAAGACGAGAAAAGAAGAAACGAATGTTTTATCTTTTTTTTCTTCAATCTAGTCTCCCACCTTTCTACGCGCATCCCGTTGTTTTCCTCGCAAAACAATTGTCTCGCGTTTGCGTGTTTAAAAACATCACCAAAGATAACACAACCAACAACCAACAACAACAATAATAGTTGGTAATAGGTAGTAATATCAACAACGCATAATAGGACGAGGAAAGTGTTGAAGAAGAAGAACTTGATGAAGAAGAAGAACTTGATGAAGAAGAAGATGTATAAGAAGAAGAAGAGAAAATTGTCAAATGAGAGAAGATTTATACAGTTCGAATATATCCCTTTCGTATCGTATACGATACTTCTAATCCGAGTTTTTTTCACGATTGAGAAGAATTTCGCGTTCCATTTGTGTTTCGTCATCCTCTCTCTTTCTCTCTCTCTCTCTCTTTCTTTCTCTCTTTCTCTTACTCTTGAATAAATAAAGATGAGATTAGACTGAAGGATTAAAAAAAAAAAAAAAAGAAGATGAAAGTAAGAGTGAATGATGAAGAAAAAAAAAAAAGAAGAAGATTGAAAGTAGAGTGAATGATGAAGAGGAAATAAAAGAAGATTGAAAGTAGAGTGAATGATGAAGAAAAAAAAAAAAAGAAGAAAGAGGAATAATAATAATATTAATAATAATAATAGTAATAATAATAATAATCGTCATCGAGAGAGTATAAGTGGAGAATACAGAAGAGTTTCTTACGGTACTGTATTGATAAAATATACGACAGTGATGATGAACAAAATTTAGAATTAGAATATAAGGAATATAAGAGCGAATGAATCTTTTCTGAAGATATAAGGTACAATAAGATCTTAAGCTTATCATCGTCAAGAAAAGAAGAGTAAAAATGTAAAAGCAAAGAGAAAATGAGAGAGAGAAAGAAAGAAAGAAAGAAAGAAAAAAAGAGAGAGAAGTGATGGGGGTGTGAGGGGGAGGGAAGAGATCAAGCAAGAAAAAAGCGGAGTAGCAAACATATATAAAAAAAGCTCTCTCCGCTTAAGCTTCGTCCATGTTTTTTAACGGAGCGCACGATATATATGTACTGATGTATATATGATATGACCATGTATACTATGTATAATATCGGGCCGATTTTTAAACAAGGAGAAATAGAAAGTGAAAAGAAAAGAAAGGAGATAATAATGAAAAAGAAATGTTGGTAAAGATGAGAACACAACTTGGAAGAATAAAGTAGATATGCGATGATCATGATGATAATGATGATGATATGATAATGATAATGATGATGAGTTCGAATCCTAAAGAGGGTTTTTGAAGATGATAGAAAATAAAGAAAATGTCTTTTTGATAATAACAAAAAGCGTCCAAAAAAAAGTCGTAAGTGTAAGGATACAATCAAAACAGCGAGAAGATTGAACGAGAGAGGGAGAGAGAGAGAGAGAGAGAGTGAAATAGAAAGAAAGAGAACGAAGACGGTTTGATTGGAAAAGGAAAAAAGATTGAAAAATTCTGTGTTAGAAATAGTGAGATGAGATTAAACGATTTGAGTGCAATTTTTGAGATAGAAAAAAAAAAAATAAAAAAAAGAGGAAAAAGAAGAAGAAGAAGAAGATGATAATGATTGTAAGAGAAAACGTAGACAGAACGGAGAAGAAAGGAGGTCGAGAGGTTAGAGTCATTCAGTTTTATACAGAGAGATTACAAGTTTAAGTATAGATATAAAAAAAAAAAAAAATTATACGTGCTAAAACGATTTTCTCTCCATAAAAATGATAGATTTCTGAGAGATTTGAATTTGGCATCCATGATTCATGTGATAAAAAAGAGAAAGAGGAGGAGAGGCCATGATTTCTAACGAGATCATCTTGTTCGAAGTTCTGTTACGGTATCCTTCTATATATATATATAAAAAGGGTGGTTACGTATTGTACTTTTAACTGAAACAACCAAACAAACAAACAAAAAGACAAAACAAATAATCAGAGGGAAGAAAGTATTTCTTCTAGCCTTCGACACCAACTTTAAAAAGAAAAAAAAAATAAATAAAAACGTTTCTTACTCTGGAATCACGCGTTCTGTTTAAGATGAGATAGATAAACATATTAGATAGATAGATAGGATTAACATTGGTAGATCGAGAAGAAATAAAAAAAAGCACGAGAGAACGAAAGTGGCTGAATGAATATATTCTTCAAATTTGCGAGGATTAAAAAGAAATAAAGGAAAAAAGTGAGGGAGAGAATGAGAGAATGATGGAAACGAAGAAATAAAAAATGTCTGTAAGCGAAGACGGCTGAATTTTTGAATTTTGTCGTTGTAGTAGAAGTAACCGTCGCTACAACGACACGACGACGAAGTAAATAAATTTACATTACTATTCCCTTTTTGGAAATATGTCTGCAAGTTTACGGAGGAAATATTTTAAAGAAGAATACGTTAAGAAGAAGAAGAAGGAGAAAAAAAAAGAAGAAGAAGAAGAAGAAAAAAAAAGAAGAAGAAGAAGAACAACAACCAATTGTTTTCATTCCCTTTCCTACATTATAATTTCATCCATTTCATTTTGCTTGAATTCTCTTATTCTCTATATTCCATTTTTTTCCTATTCCTATTACATCCCTCCTCCACCCCATTTTCCTTACCAATAATAAACTCTGTCCGTCTTTAAAGACCAGAGATTTCCTAAAATTATTTTTAATTATCCTAATACATATTAGATAATAATTCCTTTGATAACCTTTCCTTAGATATTATCCCACCATTTATTTACATTCCTATTATGGATTCATTTATTTTTGTTTAGGGCCCTTTTCAGGGCCCGCAAATGTTTTATGAACGTAAGGTTTACAACTCTACAGAGATTTACAATTCAAAATAAAATCGAAAATTGACTTTCTCCTCTTAATACGTTAGACTTCATGGGAATTTTACATTTCTAATAATTTTTTTATTACAGTTAGTTTGATTGGTATCATCTGGACTAAACGAAAGTTGGAATTAATTTAATGTATTTAGGGAGAAAATGTTTAAGTCTGTCTTTTTCAAGATAAAATATATTCCCGGAGCTTTTATATCTGTCCTTTTCAGGACAAAATGTATAAGAAGATTACAAAAAAACACCCCAAGTTCCTTCGAAAATTATTTTTCCACAATGAAACAAGTAAGAGCACTATTCAATAATTCATTGTGTGAGAGGAAAGTTCTGAAGTTTCATATGTTTGCCGAGAGGCGTTTCAAACTAACAATAAAAAAATGATTATTTCCTCAGCTTGAAGAAGAAACTAGGGACTCCATTTTTCAACAGGATAGAGGACACCCCCTTGCGACTAGGCTTGGCTTCTTTTTCATCCCTGATTTTTGACTTTCTCCAAGAAATCCCGCTGATCAAAAACTCTACGAATTTTGTTCTATGGGAATACATAAACAAATCAAGGATTTTTTCCACCAATGCCGGTTAACATTGACGAACTCCAAATAAAAATATCTGGAAATCCATCGAAATCGTGACACATCGGATATGTTGCATGGAATGGCGATCAGATTGAACATCTTATGGTATTAAAAATGAAACTTTACAGTTTCATTTTTGTAATGATATATAATCTTTCAAAGTTGGGATATTTTTTTTTGTAATCACACTGCATACCTGGAAAATTATAAAACTTTTTTTTTTTCTTTTTTCAGGTTAAATATCCCATGTGAATAAAACCCTGCAGCTGGAAAAATTTCTTTCTGATGGTAACTGGAATCTTTTCAAATAGAAGAAATAGCAATGCTACTTTTAGGACTGGAATTTCTTTTTTGTCTGTATTGTATTCTCTTTAATATCATTGGAAATTATTATTAATCTAAACGAAAAATGAAAAAAAATTAACAATAAGCCGAATATTTAATGTATTAAAACTAAACCCACCGACATTTTGTGTATACCTATTTTTACCGTGAGCTCTCAAATGAATGAAATTTTAGCGAATAAAAATGCGTTTTCTCTGCATACTTTACAAATTTGAACGCACGTGGTTTTAAGGACGAGATTTTTACCTAGATTTAACATCTGTCCTTTTGAGGACAAAATGGATTCCTGTAGTTTGAATTTCATTGGCTAGAGCTCTAGGGCTACGCCCCTTGCTTTTATTATATTCACAGGTATTCTCTTCCCTTTTTAACTCAAAGATTCACATCCTACCTTACCTGGTTTTGTAGACAACAAAGAATAAATAAAAACATTGGCGTCAGTACTCACAAATGTTTATTTATGGTTGATAGAAGATATAAGTTTCCATCGTAAATTTTGAAACTTACGACTATGTCAACAAAACTCTATAAGGATTTCAATAGCATTCTACTATAACTCCAACTCCGGAAAACATATACAACTTGGAAAAATAAATTTTTGTTTAATTTCTTTTTGTGATTTGAGCCTATAGTGAGTCCACCGTATATAGGAATAATAGAGAAAAATTCGTACATACGACCCACCATAAATTACAATAAATGTTTCAAACGAATCTAAAGAAGATGTTTGAATCTTTATTTTTTTTTAGGACAAATATCCTACATGAATAAGGCTTTACAATTGGGGACCCATCCTTTTCTAACGGTAATTCAAACTTTCAATAAAATAAAGTTTATTACTTTTTTTTATTTCTTTTCTATATTTTTTTCTCTGCTGACATACTATGATAATGGAGATATTTTAAATATTATTGCAAGAAGAAATTTTTCCATTGAACAAAAATGGGATCCTATGATAAAGTAAGCGATTTTAAAAATTATAATCATATATTTTTCGTGAATGAAGATATATCTGGAATCTTTTTAAAAATATATATTGTGAATAAGTTTATTAATTGAATTTTATAATTATTTTAGTTATTTTACTGTTTGAATTTGAAGAAGTATATTCTAATTTAACACGGGTAAGAGAGAAATTCTAGATGCGTATTGTTGAACATTATCAAGGTCAAAAGAGAAAAGACTTTATATCTCTAGAAGACGGTAGATGTCCCTAGAAAACCGTATAGCATGTGTTAGAGAATTGTTAAAAATTATTTTACATAGTTTGTTTTTTTTTTAAGTTTCTCTACGTATATCAAAACTTTTCAATATATATTTTATATTAATTAAACATTTTTCCAAATTTATATATAAATAATAAAACACGAAATAATTGAAAGTGTTCGATGCGATATTCTTTTTTCATTCTTCTCGAAGAGAAAGACATTGTCTTCATTTTTGAAATATTATTCAAACCGGATGTATTGACGTCACACGAATATAAAGAAACTTATCAATGACTCATTCCGCAATACGGAAGATTATATTTTTCCTAAAATATTGTTTTGCAGAAAGAGATAAGATAAATGTTCCAATCGCACGAGGTAACCTAAAAATTATCTTTTAGAAAATGACGCAGTAAGTAATTCGTTAAAACTCATTTGTTAGTTGTTTAGTTTTTTGAAAATCTAGATCTGAAGTAAAATGGTAATGATTGCTATATTGTGTTAAAACGGAGCATGTAATTAATTTGTAAAAAAAGAAAAGTTCCTGAAAGTTATAGAATATTTTTGCTAGTTCCGCAAGAATACTATAATACAACTGTACCTTTACAATAAAATACGGTGTGATTATAGTCTATCAGTTTTTAAATAAATTTTGTATTATATTTAAACATTTGACCGTGGCGACATTATAAATATACAAATATTCACCGGACGATGAAATGATTGAGTACTGGTTCTATTAATTTTATCAGTTATTTGTGTGTGTTTTAGAGAATAAACAATAATATTACAAAACTTTATCAATTATTTTTTTTTCTAAAAGACGTGATAAAATGATTAAAAAGTACGCATTGCATACAGGAAACCTTGACGAAGTCAAGTGTTTACGTTCATCCAGGAATATAAAACAAAGAAGGCGTGTTCATTTTTGCCGATTATATGTATTATATATATATATATATTTATATGAGTACTTATTCCTAAAATAAAAGATATGTTACCAAGTTTAGGTCATCCGAAATAATTTCTATTTTTGTTTCTTTTATTATTATTAAATTTTACATACGTAAAATTTTTTACTTTATGTTATTTGTTATTTATAGTTTACGATTCATTCTGCCTAATTATATTTTTCTATAGACAGTAAAATAACTTTAAAACAGCAATAAAATAATAACATTATAACAAAAATATTGTGTACGTAAACTTTACTAAAAAAAAAAAAAAAAAGAAAGAAGTTTTTAGGACGATCTAATTCATAAATCTTTTTTTATGTCACATTAGTATAAAAAAAATTCATGAATATATTATTTTTTCCCACTAACTTAGTTTAGCAGAAACAGATAGGAAAACTCGTCTTATTGTACGATTTAATCTACAAATAACGTCAGTAAGTTATGAAACTGTGAATTCGTAAAAATTCATCAGCTGGATGGATCATCGTGTTTGTAAAAGTTTTTAAACTTTATTTGTTATTTGCGTCACTGAGAGGACGCAAAAATATATTATCAACTTTTATACATTACAAATAAAAGTCTTTGTATCAAGTCTTACGTTCACAACTTAGGAAATAATAATACTAAAATGATGGTATTTATTTGTATATTCTTTAAATAAAAAAAGTGATATATATATATATATGTAAATAGACTTTTTTTACACGTAAATATTAATTTTTTTTTATTCTCCTACCATTTCGTGCTTGTGTTCAAACAATTGAATGTGTATAGTTCAAATAGGAAATGCCGGAATTGTGAACAATGCCTAGGAAAATTCCGTAACAATGCCTAAGCATTCATTGTTCACAATTCCGGATTTCCTACTTTGACTATACATATATATATATATAAAGAATGACGAAATAGAATAGCCATTTTTCATTTTTGTTTGTCATTGTCGTTGACGCTTCAACACATTTATTTATACGCAATTCAACCAATGACGTTTATTTACCAAGAATTTAAATATTTATTTTATCGAAATATTGTTAATATTACCGAGTGAATTGAACATTAATTTTAATTAACACGATGTCAGAATACACACATTTTTTTTTTTATATACTTACATATGTGAAAGAAATTTTCAAGTGAACAACATATTGTGTTAATTACATTCTTATCATTATTTTCACAACAGAGAGACGACATAGATTCGCTAAGAAAACCGGTATTTGGTAAGCTGCCAACTTTTGTGGAAGAATTACCAATGTTTGTTGACTCGCAGTTTCTATTTTTATAATAAACATTGATATTTATAGTTATCCTAATGCAAATAAATAATTTAAAGTATATTTTGATCTGTTTTAATTTATTTATAAAATATCATAATGTTATCAAACGTATATTTTATTCGTTTGTTATCGTGTAATCAATAATTGTAATCCAAAGTAACGGATAAATTACGCATTAAGATAAATTATTTTCTCCTATCGTTTGTTTTTATTTTAAACATTTTATCTGAAATTACTTTCAAGGCATACAGTTATATCATTTGAATGTCAATAAATATTTTCTTTTATTATTGTATATGACTTATATATTATATATTCATAAGTTTTCACCTGTCGCTGCTGAGGTTTATGATCTCGATAAAAATAAATAATATGTTTAATTTTAATTTCGAAAATACAAGGTCATTTCAAGGACATGTCACTAATCATTATACGTTTCTAGACGCATATCAGTTATAAATGTAAAAAAGAAAAAATATTGCTGGCATTGAAAATTAAAAAAATAATTCTAGTACAAAAATATTTTTTGCAACGTATTCATCGTTTGATTCAAAATACCTAATAAAAAATTCCTTGTTACATTACAAGTGATAAAGATATTTAGATGGCTACCCTTAAGAAGAAAACCCTAATTATAAAAATGATAAATATGAAACAACAATCGTAAAGAAATAAATATTTTGTTAAAATAATTTCTGAAGAATTTTCCAAATTTCTAAGTACGCATATACGTTCCTTATATAACTCGGATGTTTCTTAAATTGGTTGGAAATTTCCCAATATCGAATTTTCTCAGAACAATTGCCGAGGAACTTTCCAAAGTTCTAAATAACCATGTATGTCCCCCGTAACTAGGATGTCCCTTAAATAGAAAGTAATAAATATAAAACTAAATATAAGAAATTAAAGTACGATTGAAATTCAGAATAAATTTTCTACCTGTCGATTGCCGACACTCTCAATACAACATACCTTTTAGAATTGACACATAGATTACTAATACTAGCTTTGCCAGTTATTTCGAGTTTTATATTTTTCACGGTTTTACCATCGTTTACGTCATAAAATTTAATTTCAGTTCCAGCTCCGAATGTTGCAAATATATTTTTATCTCCTGTCATCCACGTTAAACCAATTATGGTACTTTCCACTGAAATTGATTGCTGACAGACGTTCTGTACATAAAAAGAAATCGATGAACAATTTAATTCCACTTTTCTGATATTCTTCGAAATATTATTTATTGAAAGTTTACCTCATCCAAATCGTATATACGAATATCTTTATTCGTCCCACAGATAATAAATAAATCACGATTTGGTGAACATTTGATACACGTTATACTTCCTTCGTATCTATCGTACTCATCTATCACTGGATCCGAAAGATTTTCATCTCCTATACAAATTTAAAAAATATTACAAATATTACATTATTACAATATTACAGATGTATACAATATTAAGTTGTATTATTAGCAAATTGGATGATAATAATATTAAATTAAGCAAAACGTTCGTTCGCGTCGATGGAAGCTCGCTGTTCTCATGCAACAAAATGGTACATTTATCATTGATTAGTCTAATATTAAAATAAAAAAGCTTTATATTCTTGCGAAGAAACGTAAACTGTGACTTTAAACTCAATTTAATACAATATCAAAAATGTTCAGATAAATTCTTCATGCACCTTCGATAGGAGACACACGATCGAGAGAACATTTATATATTCCACCACATAATGTTCCTACAATGAAAATATTTGGATCTTTCCATGAAAAATCAAAACTGGTAATACATAATCCAGCTTCTGCTGCACGTTCGCGTGTGCCTCCTGCGCTTCGAGGTCTTGAATTTTCTATTGGATTATGTTCTTTTATTATTTTGAATCTAAAGGGAGAAACAAACAAAAAATTCTACAGGGAACAGAAACTGATATGATATACGTAGAATGAAAAATGTTTGAAGTATAAATACTGTTTGTGCAAACGAGTTGTTGTAAAGTTAGCCATTAATTTGTTAACTATGATATATCCATCTCTACTTGAAGTCACTAAAATAGAAACATCATTCATAGTTCTTGGCTTCCAATATATTTGAGAGACAGTGTCACCATGAATATAAACATATATCGGAATAATGGAATCATCATTTCTAAGATTCCAAACTAGAACATCTCCTGTAATAATAAATTTAAATTGAAATGCAATATATTTGTAGAATAAAATTGAAGATAGAAAATATAATACCATTAAACAAGCCTGCTGCTAAAATTGAAGGTTCAACGGGATGATAAGACAAAGCTGTAACACAAGAATTGACTTCCAAAGTTGTATTAGGAATATCTGAAAGTTTGTCTTCTCTCGATAAACTGTACAATTGTATTTTTGAAAGATGGTCGCACCAAGTTTCATGGTATACAATGCTATGAGATACAACTAATGTTCCACCTGCGATACTCCATGACAAATCACTTATTTTTGTCTGTAATGAAGCCTAATAAAAAATATCTTATTATATTACAATATTCTTCTTATTCTACTACAATATAATTTTATATAAGAATACCTGTTTATCTGATTCTTCTATAGTGTTCAATCTTTTCAATAACTGCAAATTAGTAGATGTATACTTTGTTGTTTCTGTATCATAACTTTCAAAAGCATTGGTATTGTAAGCTTCATCCAATGCTTCTAATAAGCTTGGTGTAACTTTTTTCAAAAAATTTGCCAATTTGTTATAATCAACGTTTGGTGTCTTTGCCTGTTCTTGTATAGTTTGAGTCTATCAAATATATTATATACATATGAATATAGAATTAAATTTATAAATATATAATAACAAAATATTACCTCTGCATTTTTTTTTTCTACAGTTTGAGTTTTATTAGAAAAATATGTGATTTCTGTAGTTTGTACGTTAGCGGATACCTCTGGTCTAAAAATAAACGAATTTAAACAATTATATATAGTTAATAAAAATTATTATCTTTCTATTGTTTTATTAATATCTAAAAATATTCTAACTTACTTTGTAACTGACACTTGTGATTCAAAGCCTACAGTGTCAAATGATTCATTTTTAAACATTATGCTTAAATAATCTAGCGGTATCGAATAAGAAATCTTTAAAAATGAGAGAAAGACAGAAAGAGAATAAATAATTTATAATTTTTCTTCAAACAAAATGTTTTATGATTAGAGTTCAAGTAATTTTTATTTTGATTTTGATAGAGAATAGCTACAATTTGATATTTTATTGTATACTCTAATGACTATCTATAGGGAACACTAGTACCCTCTTTAATTAAATTATTCGTAGAACAAAATTTACCGACCAATGATAAGGATATTATTTTCATTTCTAAATTTGTGTATAGTCAAAGAATACTGTAGTAGCACAAAAAAGTTGGCATAGAACCTTATTTGTAAAAAAAAAGAAAAGAAATAATTATTTTTAATTGCTGACAAATTGCACATATAAAATCAATAATTGCTCACTTTATTAATTAATTATTTAATTAATTTTCGAATTTCCTTAAGAATTCGCGTCTAGCGTTCAATGTGTCAAATATTTTATTTTGTATATTTTGTAAAAACTAGCTAACTTTTTTATATTTTATTTAATTTTTTTGAAAAGATAAAACATAAATCATAAAATGTTTTGTGTTGTACGGTGGGACGATACATCGGCTATTATCAACGAGACGTGGATCAATTATTATTCGTCTCGTACTTTCCGATAGCCTAAGTCAAAAAATCCTACAGCCCAGGTGTTTAAAGCTGAAAAGCTTCACGATAATTGGTATACTTTTAATTATACCAAAATTTTGGTAAGACGTTAAAATGTTCAATGTATTAATAAGAATATAATCTCATTGATCTTTATCAATTCAATTTTGTAGAGAAATATGATGAAGTATTTCATCAGATGTGATCGATCAATTAAAAAGATAAAATAAGTTTTTGTAATTTTGTCGTGAAATTTGTTTGTTTTTTTTTTTTCATTTCAATAATTTCAATTATATGCAAATTTTGGTATCTTTATATACTACAATTTTTACATGTTATTTTTCAATTTTATCTTCTTTTCTCTTCTTTCTATCCTAAAGAAACGTATGGTTAGACAAGTTGGAAGTGAATCATTCGACAAACATGTGCATAGAGCATTTAGCTCAACTTTTTCTGACATTCTAGCATATAGAATGTTGTAGACTGGGGTGAAATACTGTAATGGTGAAAAATAAAAACTATGTCAATAACTAATAGGTAAACTACTAAATCTTTAAACTTTATGGTTTGTTTATGTATTTATAAAGTATCACAGAACTTTTTTTTGTCTTCATAGAAGTTATAATGCAACGATGGAATGGGAATGATAAAGTTTCTATTGAAGCAGTTATAAAATCGTGGTTCCAACATGCTGGTAACCGCATCAAGTTAAAGTCAAAAAATTAAAATTAATTTATGCCTTTTATAAATTAACAGAATTTTTTTATTTTCATTATATTTTTGTATTCAATTCTAATAATTATTATTTGAATGTAAGTTACTCTATTAATGTATTAACTAGAAAAAAAAGAAAATTATTAAAATATGAAATATATTGTACTTTATTCAATAAAAAAAAAAAGGTTGAATTACCTCCAAATTCCATCTTATTAATGTTAACTTTTGGTTATCAGGTTTTAGAGCTCTTACCGATGTCAGAAAATGGCGCATAAGAGATCTTTATGTTAACTTTATATTATCTTTCTAACCAGTTTTTTCGGATTTCAGATGGAAAAAATTTTATCTTTTTGCTGAGCGGGTATACAAATAGAAAAGGAAGATATATAACAAAAGCAAAAAATAATAAGAATAATTATTTTAATGATAAATCACAGTGTGTTATCTTAGATGTTCTATAGATTATTCAATTTTTATTCCAAAAACTCATACTTTTAATTATTACTTATGCAAACTTTTTCTTTGAGGCCACAGATTAATCCCTCATGGCAAGGACACAATACAAAATGTACACCACTTATTGTCAACTTTTTATCATTCGGATAATATAGGGTAGTGTTGAACAATCTGTCGTCACCTTTACAAGTTTCAGTTTTCTTTAATAAAGGTCTACATTGGGGTATAACGTATCTTCCTCCGTCTATGTGGAAACAAAAAAACAAAATTAGAATAATTAGGAAGTATAGAACAATTACGAATTAAATTAAAATAAAATTGTAACAAACTTATGACACAGCAATGATCATCGGGACATTCTTTATCGTTACGACATTGAACATCAGGTGGTTCCTCTTGTTTGATACTTGCAGCAAAAAGAAATGAGACGAGTCCCAATAGAAGAAGAATAGTAAAACTCGTTGAAATAGTCGATGACATTATGCGATGTGGTTATCTATAAAAAAGAAAAAATGAAATGAAAAGAAAATTAGTATACAAAGGAGATAAATTTATAAATACGTTCAAATTGATTTATTTTAAAACTCTTATCCGTTTATTCTTAGACATTTTTTCGGATGAATTACGTAAACAGTCCGCTGCGAACGGATCAACCAGTTTTCAAAATTCATTTTTATCCTACGTATTTGTTACGAATTAATAAAGTTTAATATTTAGGGAATCGATTTTTTATTGATTTTTAAATCTTGAGATAGATAGAAGCAGATTATAAAGTGCATGGGATGATCTTACCAGTCTGGCGACTAATAAAATCTCTGGCATCATTCTCGATACCATATTAAGTCACCTGCATCGATGCTTTTACCACTTCCTTCTATTTGTTTTGTTGTTTCTTTTCTGTTTCCTTTTGTTTTTTAACTAAACTATTTAATTATATAGTTAAAAAGGAAGAAGCACCATCATTTAGAAAAAGTATTTATTCTCTCTATGATCACAATTTATTTTAAATAAATTAAAAGGTCGAAAGAAGAATTATTAGTTTGAAACGATCACAATTATCGAAACGTTTGTTAATCGAATTGTAATAATAAAGAGAGAATGAAAAAGACAATGGAGTGAACGTGGAAAATCCAACATCTTGAATGGGGACGTGCTTTTCTTAGAAAAGAGATATCTCATCAAAAAAAATGCATAACTTTCAAATCTTACGCAACGCTAACTAACTAAGCCTACATCTGTACTATTCTGCACTTGACACATTCAAAGTCAGATTGCGATAAAATGAAGTATAGAATTTAGCAATTAAGATGTACAATACAGAAATTAGAAGAAGAATATATACATGAATTATGCAATAATTGTGAAAGATGTTATGCAGTACGATCGTAAACGATCCAAATTTGTTTACATAGAACAAATGCAGATGGATTATGATGCATCGGTTTGAAGAATTTGATAAACACAATCCAAATAAAATTTCCATATTGCAACCTTCACCTTGACGCAACTAATCTTAAATGCTAATAAGAATAAGATACAGACGTGTGTGTTAATTCGTCGACGAATTACGTTACAAACGAGTCGTTTGGATGATTTTTAAGAATGCATTTTACAAATAGAAAATTTATAAGAGAAAAAAAACTAATAGAAAAGAAAAGAAAAATTACAAATATATATAATGCAATATCTAATATATTTTTCAATTATGTTTGATAATGTCTCTTTTAATGAACGAACGAATGAAATTTTTCTACAATTGTAAACGCTCGAAGGGGATTTTTTTCTCGAAGGGCATACCACGCAATTCATTCACGAAGGATCGATCGATCGATCATTACCGCGAATGTTACTCATTCTCATCGATGATCTCGCGTGTGAACAAACGGAAATAAACCTTTACGAACCTGTTAACACGTCGTCCAAGCTCGGCTGAATACTGGTCGGCATGTGATCGAGCAGTGATGATGAGAGCCTTGTTTTTATAGTGGTGGCACTTCTTCCTCCGCTTCCTTCCTTCGACAAATGTTGAATTCAGAGATCCTCTGATGTATATAAGTTTCTACCCGCACGTATACGCACACTAATTTACACGAATAAACACATACTTATCGGTTTATCGTATGATTAATCGAAATACAATGCGGATTCCTCTTATTTTTCGTTCGCGGACTAATTTTCTTTTTTTTTTTCTTTTTCTTATTATTATTATTATTATTTTTCTCTTCCAATTCTTTCATTTTCTTGTTTGGTTAAAGCTAATTGAAAATACGCTTGTGAAAATGTTTGAGGAAAATTGTCAATTAAACGATTATTATCATCGATTACATATTAATCCTGTCGAACGAGACGCTATATCTCACTTTAATTATCATCAAGATACTGTCCTAACGAATCGTTCAAAAATAGTATTATGATATTTATTCCTTGATATTATTGCGTATTATTTCAATAGTTAGATCGCATGATTTATCGATTGCTTTTGCATTTATATAAAATATTTTGTATTTCTCGGAAATTCAGTATAAATCGTTTAAGTATATACATTAATTCACCTGTAACAAATATTCTTTAAACGTTTCGATATTCTCTAATTATTCTATTTCTAATGCGAATTTGTTTTATCTTCGTAGCACTATTTGCAATCACTGGTTTAATACTAACAATAATTTCTCTTTTATTTGGCTGCGGGTATTACCGTTTGCGTAAATATGGGCTCAGGTTGACAATAAATATCGAAAGTAATCATTTTATATTTAAAAATGTTACATTCGTAGAGAGTAATTTCACTAGAAACAATTACGATATTTTGTATGAAAATTTATTAATTAATAAGATTGGAATTGTATATTATAAGTATTATTAATTTGAATTTTCTTATTTTCTTTTTTATTCGAAATTTTTTCTCTGGAAATGTAGTTCCATTGTATCTTTTTTGATTAAATTTGTGAATCGTTAAATCGTTCTAAAAATAAATCTTCCGTTGAAAAGAAAAATTGAGATCTAGGTGATCTATTTCAGTTTAGATTGAAGAAAAAATTCATATTTAAATTGGTTATCAACGGAGTACGATTTTTTAGCAGATGTTTCTTACAGTACTGGACAGAGGTCACTACTGGTGTATGTACCAACGTTCTTTAAAATGTTTTCTCTCTCTCTCTTTCTCTCCCGTTTGCTTATATGTAGATGAATAGAATATAATTTGGAATAACCTAGTCTATCGCATGCAAAGAACCTAATGCGTACGGTACTATGTGTCCACCAGCATCTAACTATTTATAAAGTGAGCTGGTTGACCGCGTGTGCCGTTTAGAATGGTGGATTATGCTTTACTGGATCTAAATCGAAGATAATTCAACTTTGTGTCTTTTATGATTGACTTATTTCGTTGAATAAAAACATTACTTAAACCATGAGACAATCATTTTTGTGAAATTTATAAATTAAATATATTTAGGAATTATCATCAAAACACACACACACATGGTAAATAGTTATGCTACTTTCACATATCCCTTTTTATTTTCTTTTTGCATTTTTATAAACAAGAATTTAACAAGAAATAAAAATGACTACTATCTATTGTTGTTGATCGTAAACAAATTATTTGAAATTATATAAATGATGCATATTGAATTAAAATATACTTTATGTTTATGTGTAGGCTCTATTAGGTGCACAACTTGTTATCACTCTTATTATGGTCAGTGTCATTCAAAAATTAAGTCCACATTTTTCATTAGCTAGATGGATGTTATGTTCCACCGGGTAAGTTAAGAAATAAATTTATATGTTCTCAGAGCATTGATAACTTTTGAATTTGCAGATTGGAGCGATATTTGTATCCAACTGATCAACAACTTAGAATCCTTGCTGGCGTACCCAAAGAAAAACATAAAAAAGGTAAAAATGTAGAAAACGGAAAGGTGGGAGATGTATTTCATGTCCCTAGAAATTTGGATCTTACATTAGAAAGTGCTAAGATTACAGTACTAGACATAGTTCATTTAAAGTACTATATGGAGTATCAATGGTTATTAGACTTCTCCATTTATGCTACTATCGTATATGCAATGACAGAGGTTTGTAATCATTTTTTGTTTTAATTATATTAGGAACAAATAGATATTCTCTTCATTAGTTTATTTGTACTTGACAGGTATATAATTATTTCTATCCGATTAAAGACGAAATCAATTTAAGCATGCTCTGGTGCACGTTGGGATTGGGTTTTGCATTGTATCCTTTTTCTATCTGAAGTGATTCAAAACCTTTTTCAATATTACAAGCTTATGTTCCTTAAATAAATTATAGTAAGGTTTTACTTTCACTTTGGATACGATATTTTAAGGGAGAAGAGAGCGTTGGTGAAAGATCTACTTGCATTGTTACCGGATTCGCATATCTTCTTATAGCTATGATGGTGTTAATTGTAGATGAAAACAATCTTGAGATTGGACTGGATAAAGCGTATACAAGCTTTAATCACAGCGCCTCCTTGTTTTTAGACAATCAAGGCCTTTCTTCTACGTAAGCCAGTAGTATTTGGATGCCCAGGGAGACACATACCGCTTTTGCATAGTACTACTAAATTTAAAACAATTTTTTTAATCGCACATGATTGTAACTTAAAATGCTTGCACCTTTTGTATTCTAATAATATGAGTTATCTATTATTATTATCTTTATAAATATGCCAAGTAGAATTTGTATATTTCATTTAATGAATTTATATTTTAGGGGTCCTGCATCTAAAATCGTAGTTAAGTTCTTCCTTGCTTTGTGGTGTGGACTTCTTGGATCTCTTTTTACTTTCCCAGGCTTAAGAGCATCAAAAATGCATTGGGATGCACTAAAGTATAATAAAACATTATTTTAATTTAAGTATTATAGTGTTAATAATATATAATATAGAATATAAACATTTTTTTCAGATATTATAAAAATAGAAAACTATTACTGCTAATAGCAAATATAAGTTATGCTTCACCACTTCTGTTAACATGTCTATGGATTAAACCCATAAGCAGAGATTATCTTACTGTTCGAATTTTTACAGGAATGAATGGTCCACTGTATGTTGATTTTATAATAGATTACTAAAATTTTGTAATATTATTAATTGCGTTACATTTTTAGGATGACTGCTGCAACTTTCGAAAGCATGAGATTAATCATTATTATTCTAGCACTTGCATTAAAAATGATTTTAATGCCAATGTATTTGCAATCCTATTTAAATTTGGCTTTACAAAAGTTAGAAAATCAGAAAAAAGAAGCAGGAAGGATAACCAATGTAGAATTGCAAAAGAAGGTACATGCAAAGATAATTACTAGAATATGTGTGTGCGTGGAAAATATAAACATAGTATTTTATTTTCAGATAGCAGCTGTATTTTATTACTTGTGCGTAGTAGCATTGCAGTTTATTGTTCCAATTATTATGTGTTTGTTCTTTACATTTATGTATAAGACCCTTGGTAAGATTATACAAATATACAATAATTTCTCTCAACTAAAATTACTTTTTACTATTTTAAATTATTTTGGTAGGTAATTATACATGGGAAGGTATTATTAAGGGTACGTTGGTTGAAGAATGTCCAGCTGATGAATCACATAAGATTGTACAAAGTATCAGTACAGAAACTAACGAAAAGACTGTAACGCAAACTGCTCAAGAAATTCAACATACATTTGGTTCATTAAAACAGGTAAAGCTTTTGTCAATGATATGCATTTTAATATATAATAAATAAGATTTACTCATTGTTATTCTTATATGTCACAGATATTCACTATCGATGTATATAGAGGTTTGTTAGGATTAGCCACATGGTGGACTTGTTTTTCATTGTTTGCTACCACAGCTATGGGAATGTTTTATCAGTCATACTTTTCAACCATGTAAAATCCCATCAAACAAATTAATGTCACAACGCACAAATTTACATCGTTCCTCGCATTATACCCTCCATATTATTATTACAAAATACATTACATTTAGAACTATCTCATATCAATAAAGATACGTGTTTTTAGATTGTACCTTCACTTTTTAGTGGGTATATATATTTACATACATAATATTGATCGTAATTTTTCGATAAAACAGTAATCGATATTGATCGATTATTGTTTAACAATAAGATTTTATAACGATATTAGCGATAAGAACACGAAAATTGTAATACGAAAATGTAGGAAATATGTATGCTTCTTTCAGAATATTTACCAAAATAAATATACAACAAAAATTTGTATCTTTATATACCTTAATATCCTCAAGAGAGAAAGAGAAAGGGAGAGAGATACTTTGTATGTAAATACATTATAGTCAAAAGTATACATATACAATATAATAATTACATGCAAAATGTCTGAGATACTAGACCAAACTTAATATTCAAGAAACGATAGACCATAATTAATAGTCCGCCGAGGAGGTAGATTCTATATTAGGTGGACGGAAAGTAACTTTCTTTACCAATTCCAATTTTCATTACAGATGACTTATACAGATACGGTATAAATCTAGATATGAAAAAATAATAAATATACATATTCGAATTATTTCTTCCTTTTTTTATCCATTATTATTATATTGTTATTATTATTATTATTATTACTGTTAGTATATTATTATAAATTATTTACAAATGAATGTAAAAACGAAACAATGAATTTTAATTTACGAAAAATCATGTGTCGATCAATTACAATTCATTGATGGTTCGATATCGGTATCCAGGTGAAAGTATCCTTGTGTATTTGAAACTATATCATTGGGATGCTATTCACGTTTTATTTCGACCGCTTCCGTGGTATATAACTCCCCACGATATAACTTTTCATTGGAATATCGACTGGATTTTTGTTACTGTCAAGATCAGGTGTCTTCCTTCAATTTTGATAGAGCGATGTGGGTGAGTGAAATTATTATTTCCAAGGATTCTTAATAACGTTAGAAAATTTACGTTTCGTTAAGAAGAAACTTTACGTTTTAAAAATGAAAGAATACAAAAAACAAATAAAGGAGAAAAAATAAAAAGGAAAAGAAAAAAAAGGCGGTCAAAGAGGTTCACCTTGGTGCGCGAAGAAAGGACTTGTTACGAAATATTCAATGTTTCTTGAAACGATGTAAAAGCAACTCATTGTTCAATTGATTATACCCTATCAACAATAGAAATCATTATGATAATCGGCAAACAATAAAAAAGAATAGAGACGTACATGTACGCGATTCATCGAGTTACCTGCGTAGAAAGAATAATTCGAAAAAAGAAATACGGTTTACTTGCTTTGAAGCTTCTGACTTTTAACGTTACACCTTTTTTTTTTTTATCTTAAATCTGTGTCATGGACAAAAAGTGGTTCGTTCGAAGAGATTATCTGGATTTTACATTAATATTATATTGTGTCCTTGTTTTTTATATAATATGATATGTATTACGCATACCCATAGACGCAACTTATCCGTTCATTATTAAATATTTTCTAATATGAAAGAAATTTTTAAAACGATGAAACTTTTTAATTAAAATAAGATTTCTTTCTTTTTTTCCTACGAGTCATAATGAATAAAAATAATGTATTTTTTGTCTTACCCTTTGTATTTTTCTTTTAGAAATATACGATACTCGGCAGCTTATTATGGAGTTTGGTAGCAACGGAAGCACCTGTGCAAGGTGGCATAAAACCTACGAACGTTTTGGGTGGATCGGAACAACACGCATCTTTTAGTTTCGTAAGACCAGGATTAACTCAAACATCATTTTCCTTCGGTGGTCCGAGTTCTCATCAATCTTTTAGTTCGTCTATCGGAAATCCACAATTAGCTCAAAGAGTATTGCCAAGTTTGGCACAAGCTCTTTCTTACAGAAATCCTGGATTGGGTTCGTATTTGAAATTTTTTTAAATAGAAATTTGAAATTCTGTTTGACATATATAATTTATATACATGTCAAATGATATATTCCTGTCTATCATTTTATTACACAAGAGACTTAACGACTCCGCCCTAAATACATGTACAAGGATATTTTTATACGCACAAACGTTAAGACTTTCTACATTGCATTTCAGGATTTTTTCCATTTGGACCCGTTCCTCATGGTTATGCAACTACATCGATAGCCCCGGGTCTCTCTGCCTCAGGCCCTTCACCTTTACCGTATCAAGCACAGTTTGATCAGGGCGCTGCATTGGCGTATCTTCAACAATTGCAACAATTGCAACAATTACAACAAGCACAGGCACAAAATTATCCGAATGTCCTTTATCAAGGACAATTGGGACAGTATCTTGCTCTCAGGCAAGCTCAGACACAAGCACAAGCTCAAGCACAAGCACAAGCACAAGCTCAAGCTCAAGCTCATGTACAACAGGCTCAAACACCACAGGTAATTCTTAGAAGAAATTCAAGAAGTTGACGATGATCATTTTCACCAATGATCTTTCTTAGCTCCCAGAGCAAATCCAACTTCAACAAGAGCATGCACAACAACATCAACAACATCAATCGCAAAACTTATTGGGGGTTGCTTATTCGTCGGCACCCTCTGTAGCACATGTCAAGGTCAGCGGAAATGGATACAAGTTCGATTTTTAGAGAACATCATTCGGCATCATTTTTTGTATATATTCAGTAAACTAGTGCTTGAAGTATCATATTTTATTTAATATTATTCATATATTTATTTATGGATATGTACGTACTTTATTTAGTTAAATTAAATATTATAAAATAGAAAAATGATCTCGTATTTTCTTTGTCCTCTTGTAATATTTACTTTCACTTTATGCAAAAATTTCAAATGTGATTCAAAATGTAAATGAATGAACAAGACAACCCGTTTCAAAATGGACTCGAGATTACTAAATGGTTTGAATTGAACATGTTAGCGAGAATTATAACAAAATTGGCTATGATTTTGGTTTGCATAAGATTTAATTTCTTGCTCGTATTCATGATTCAAACTTTCTATGTTCTATTTTATAAAAATCTTGATCATATCTTTGTTTAATAGATCATGAAATTGAACGCAGGTGTGTGGACGTTACACATCTGGTTTGTTACATATGTGACAAGGCTTATGTCAGTGTCAGAATTGGGAGAAAGTGTTGTCCTTGGGAGGTTCTACAATATCATATGCGACTAAAATGTATCATGTTACATAAAATCATATAATTTTATTTTTGCGATGTGGAGTATTATTTTCAACAGCAATAAATTTATAATAACGCATGAGAATAAATAAAGTATATTAATATGATCTAATAATCTTTCTGAAAAAAACATCTCGTATGTTTCACATAACAAATAAAAGCTTATTACGCCTTATTTAATTGAAAAATAAGAGTAGATAAATTATATAATTAAACTTAATTGCTTAATTTTGATTATCAATGAAATTGAGATTAAACATTTGAGTAAAATCATTAAGGAGAATAAGTAAGAAACAAGAATTACCGTGAAATAAATTCGAGAGTAAATTCTCCGACCTGCCTTAATGACCTCGACTGTACCAAACGGGCCGATCTTAATTTCGGCAAGAGAGGACCACGCCCGGAATTTGTTTCTGTCCCCTCTTAATCGACTATCCTTCTCGTTCGTACTTTCTATCTCCCTTTCTTAGTAATTTCTGACAAGGAAATCCGCGTGTATTTCCCTCTCCCTCGATCTTTCATGTCCAATCGTATTGAACAATAGGGTGCCCAAAATTCGATCGACTCCCTTACGATCTCGCAGGCATATAAATACTGGGCCGATCGTTTCGTTACAGCAGAACACAAGTAGCTCTCCTACTATAGAAAACCAAGAAAAATGGCATTCAAGGTGAGTATAACGTATCCGTCGAAGACTGGTAAACGGATTTATTATATTATATTGTAAGGAATTTTATATATATCCTAGAGAGAAATTCAAGTATGACCAAGTATATGAAGGAGCAATCTTTAATAAATGATCTAGTATAATATCTCGAACTCGAGAAAAAGATATTAATAATAAAGTAATATGTTTTGCAGTTAATCGTCCTCTCAGCTCTCTTGGCGATAGCCCATGCTGGCGGACCGGCCGCATACGACATTGCCACAGCATCGGCCGATCTCAGCAGCGTAGGTTACACTCAGGAGTCTACGCAGAAGGGCTATGCAGGACAAAACGTCGTGTCGAGTTATTCTAGAGCCGAAGACTCCGCACATTCTTCGGTGCGCGTCAGCAACAGCCACGTTACCAACGATGCATTGACTTACGCAGCAGCACCAGCAGCAGTGATCGCTAAGCCAGCTTATACTGCGGCTACCTATGCTGCTCCTATAGTGACCAAAGCCGCACTTGCACCAGCGACTTATACGACTTACGCTGCACACGCTACCCCAGTATTAGCTAAGACAGCTTATGCTGCTGCTCCAGCCTACAGTTACGCTGCACATGCTGTTGCACCAGCCTACAGCTACGCCACACACGCTGCTCCAGTTTTGGCTAAGACAGCCTATGCTGCTGCTCCAGCTTACGGATATGCTGCCCAAGCTACACCTGTATTGGCTTCGCAACTCCATGCAGCAGCTCCAGTCTATAGCTATTCCGCTCAATCTGGCCCTGTCGTTACTAAAACTGCCTATGGCACTTCTGCCTACGGATATGCTTCACCACTCGTAGCCAAGACTACCTACGCAGCTGCTCCACTTGTTACAAAAGCAGCTGTAGCTGCCCCAGCTGTAGTCACCAAAACTGCCTATGCCGCCCCAGCCTACGCTGCCCCAGCTTACGCAGCAACCACCTATGGATATGCCGCACACGCTACTCCAGTTCTTGCCAAGGCTACTTACTCTGCCCCTATTGCTCACGTCGCTGCAACCCCTGTTATCGCTAAAGCAGCACACGTTGAACCTGCCTACGGTTATGCCGCAGAATACGCTGCCCCAGTCGTACACGCCACTTTCACTGGATTAGGCACTAGCTATGCATGGTAAATCGTGATAAACTCGACACCCACCGACCCGGCGACTTTTCTTATTATTTTTTTTTACTTTGCGTATTTCTTCTTTCCTTCATACATCATTACCGTGTAGACCTGAAAAATACTCCATTTTTAGAACACTGTGTTACTCGGAATAAGGCTAATTGATAATGAAAGATGATATTGGTTTTAAGCGTTCAATTGATATGTACATATTTCTTTGTTAGATTTCTCTCGTTCGTTCTCGTTTGTCGTCTTTCTTATTTTCAAATTTACCGTATTATTGTAATCAACTAAAAGTTGTTATCCTACAGTAATGTCAACGTTGTTAACGGATGCGTACCAAATCTTTAGTAGGAGTAGTGCATAAGTATTTATATTTATGTTACCCTGAATGCTATGATTTTTCCGTGTTTTCACCATTCAATTTGATTTGACACAAATATATTTACTTATTCGATAGTGAATAAGAGAATTATTTTTTCGACATACTTATCTCCATAACGTTAGATAATAAATTTTACACCTACAACGATAATATATGAATTTTATTCTTTTGGAATATCCTAATTTTCCTCGAAGAAAAGGGTGGAAAAAGGTGGATTAAAATTATATAAAATTAAACATTACGCATGATGATAGGCAACACTTTATACTGTTGCGAACACCATCTATTGCCAAAAAATTTTTCTCATATGATAACTTAGTAACTCTTCTTTATCTACCCATCCAATGTGTTGAATATTACACTCTTAACCATGTCTTAACATTGGAAAGAGTACACGTTCCATCTTGTATTCGTGTGTTGTTATATTTATTTATTAAAAATATATATTTCATTATTAAAAAATGACGAAAATAAGAAAAGTGAAGCGTAAGAAGAAGTATCGTACGAATGTAAATCGAAAAAGACTACGTAACAAGTTACAAAAGCTACCTACGATAGGATGGTAAACATAACCTTTTTATATTATTCATTATTACATATCATGTTCATATTTATTTTTTTAATAGAATATAATTTTATATATACAGCAAGAAAATAAAAGAAGAATGGGAGATTTATAAATCAACACGTAGTAATCTAAAAGAGATGGGTTTAGTATATGATCCCAATGAGACTTTACAAATTCCCAATGTAAAACAGGAATTACTGAAAGAAGTTAAAGAAAAATTGATGGAAAATAGTATGGAAATTGATAGTGAAGAAGAAGAAATAGATGTAATAACCATACCACCTAAAATTAATGTTGCACAAGCTTTAAAAGAGGAAGCATGTGGAACTAGGAGAAGACTGTTTCAATTACCGCATAGTCAAGTACAGTTTATCACTTATTTATTAGACAAATATGGAGAAGATTATGAGGTATGTATTACATCATTGAAAAAGTTTTTTTTTTAGAAGAATATGTCAACAAAATATAAAATAAAAATTGTTTATCTAGGCTATGGCACGCGACAAGAAGAATCACTATCAGTTAACTTGGAGACAAATTCGTGCTAAAATAAAAACTTTTAAAGGCATTCCAGAACAATATAATAAATATTTATCTAAGAAAATTGAAATGTAATTAACTTTGATCTTACCAAATGTAGAATCAAAGTTAATTAGTATAAAATACGATGTTTAGTATAAAAATCTCTCTCTATATATATATATATATTATACGCGACTAAGAATTCATTTTTATCGTACATTTACATTTTAACATTTTACTTAATAAAGAATAAAAACAGAAAAAATAGAGGAATGCTATAAATAATATTATTATTACAAAAATGAATGTATTCCATCACAGCAACGTTACGGCAATAGCGTTGTATGTACAACGTAGAACATTGTATTTTCAACACAAGGTTTAACTGATATTAAGCATTTTGCAGTCTTCTTTATATCATGGAGACTATATTTTTTGTTTCCTCTACCATACTATTTGTTTTTATCTATATAGATTAATTGTGCAAACATTGGATAAATGAAATAAATAAATTAAAAAATACCAATTTCTTAATAAACAGCCATAGAACATAATTTTTCAGTAACAGCTTTTACAGACTTATGATACCAGGTATATTCAGATAGAAAATCAGGTAAAGGCCTCGTTTGGCATCCGATAACTTCTACCTTATGTTTATGTGGAGAAATACTTTCCACATCTAAAGCTTCTTTTACTTGATGCGGTAGAAGTGCACCAGGAATATCCTGTAAATAATATGTAACAAAATATTTTGCATAGAAAATATTATTCATTTTTCTAAAATATATGAATATAAATATTTGAAACTTTAATACACTATTTACCTGTTTATTGGCAACAACTAATATTGGTACGGTATCTATTCGTGTATCTCCTAATAACTGCTTGAATGTCGAAACAGCAAGAGATAATTTATTTGTATTAGAAGCATCTACCATAAATATCAAAAGATCGGTGTCTTGTAAAAAGGTTGACCAAAACTCCCTATTGCTTTCCGCACCTCCAACTGCGCATATCATTATTTAATAAGAAAACTAAATATGACATATAATTCTTAACGCTCTCTTAAAAGTGAAAATAGAATCTTATTTTTTGTAATGTTCTTACTTTCCCAAACATTGTATGTAAAAGATCCACATTTTATTCTATATACAGTAAAACCTCGAGTAGGTTTAGTTGGAACTTTATACGGTCTTTTATCACCATAGATGATGCGCATTTGATTCATTACAGATGTTTTACCTGCTCCGTCTAAACCAAGTAGAAGTATCCTTTTTTCATAACTGTCATCGATCTACAATCAAGAGATCTTTTTTAATATATTCAAATGTATCATTAACTCTTAGAACATTATTATTGTATGCGACATTAGAAAGTTGTAGTATAAAGGTTATTTTTCACAATAGATTCAACTTGTCGATTAACTTTTAATAAGTCAACGTCACATATCTATTGAAAACAAATTTTTCTGTCAAAAAAATAAAGTAAAAATTTATATATTTATATATATATATACATATCACAAATAGATTAATTAACAATATATATATATATATATCAATTTTATTTATATATGTTAGTATGATCGTTCAAGAGACACGAAATAACGTTCGACAGTTGAAAAAGTTACAGTTGAAATAAAAATATATTTTGAAAATAAAGGAAACATATTAAAGGGACCTTAGTAACTTCGTCGAAACCTTCGTCGATTGACTTCAGTTCTCTTTTCTTCCAATATCGATAAGCAACGTAAGCTCCAACACATGCACAACCAGCCAAGAATATCGTTTTACGTCCATTAGAAAACATAGTATTTATCTCGTAGCTCTTCCTTTCTTCTAGGATAAATACACGGACACGTTTTTCACTTACTCTCTATTATATATCGGCATGTCAACGCGCGCAAACTCTCTTTCGACCTTCGACATGTATTTCACGCGTTCTGTCATGCGGTGAACTACGTAAGCGCGCGAATCATTCTTACAAAATGTGTTCACAAAACTATGTACCTTAAACCTTCTCTTTCCCCAAGATATATTTATACTTTTTTTTAATTAGTATTTTAACAATAGGTGAAAGATACGATATGATTTCAAAACAAAACAAACAAAAAACAATTATTTTAATAAAGAAACACACGAACCAGAAAATTTATATATTTTAATTGTTTCTTTTTTTTTTTTTTTTTTAAATTAATCTTTTTCATCCTTTATTTTTATTATCTTCTACTATTAATCGTTTAATTCGTATGACTTCGAAAGAATACGCAGAAAAAAAAATAATAAATATTCTCTTTTTAGGATGACATTTATTTTAATCTTATTTCGTATTATACTACTTTTATTCTCGTATGCTTTATAAGCATACAATTTTACGTGCAAATTTTTTTTTAAACGGATTTTTAACGACAAATGTAAACACAAAAAATTTGTTATTTTCTTTATGTTTAGAGAGGTTGAAATTTTATACGGAAATGGCGCGAATTAAATTAACGAATTACGTTCTTTTAATCTTAATCATTTCGTATAGTAGAAATATGTTTAAATTGTACTGCTATTACATTTATTTGAATACTTGTAACAATGTTACAGGTGACCCTTTACCTTCGGAATTTTATTGATCGTGGAATCTTTGGCTAAGTTAAAAATATTTTACGTTAAATGATCACAAGAGTTTGTTACTTAAATCGGAACGCAAATGATTGAGACTGAAGAAGTTGATTTACTCCTATAAGTATGAAAGTATATAATGATTATAAAGAAGATAACCGATCAAGGTCAATTCTAAGAAATTAATTCAATGATACTCATTATCTCGCCATCTTCGTTCGTACGACAAAGAAGCTCGTTATTTCTCGTAGATAAATGTTTTAATCATCCACTTTACATATAAAGAACTGTAACGTTTGATACAAGGTAACCAAAAAAGGATTAAATACATAAATCCGATTTTACGTTTAATCCTTTCGGCTAAGGGCTTTGATACCGGAGGCGAAGGCTTTAATGTTTTCAAAGGGACTATTAATTGGCACGAATGTACGATATAAACTAGTAGATTTCATTTTACTTGGATCCTTATAAATCGTATAAAAGGTCTAACTTTCTAAAAGTTATAATAACATAAAGCGATTGTATTCCGAGTAAAGATTTGCCGATTATTTTCTATCCAGTCCCAGTATTTATACATAGTCGGCCATTTTGATTTCACTTTATCGAAGTTAATAATAATTCCGAGTAATAGATTGTTGCGTATTGTGTTGTGTATTGTAACGTTATCGAGAACACTTCCAAATTCCGTTTCGTTGGATCCTGCGCAGCATTCAATGGTCTCTAATCCGTCTAATCTGTCCCGAAATGAAATAGTTGCAATTCTTTCAACGGTCACCCTTCGCTCGGTTGCACACAGCGTCGCATTTAAGTGGGAGAAAACACTTGACCCACGAGGACGAAGGGACAAGGGGAAGGGAAAGGAAAAGGGAAAGGGGGGTTTGTTAGAGAGGTCGAAGGGAGGAGGAGATGTATAGGTCGTCGAGTGGTTTACAAGAGGGGAAATGATATTTAGGGAGAAGATGACTATCGGAGACACGAGATCATCGTCCCTTTAACTGGCCACGTTGACATATTTCTCGTCCCTCTTTAGTTTAGACAAGTATTATTCGCATAAGCGTAACAAATAATATCCAACAATAAGTTATCATTTTCTTCTTTATTATCTTACGGTTGAACAACACATTTTTTTTATACGTTCCGTTTCAAAATTTAATTACAAGAATATAAGCTCTGTTCGAGAAATATAATATAATAAAAGGAACGTTTAAAGTGTATAACCTTTACGAGGATGTAAATTTTTTTTCTTATCTTTTAACTTCGCGAATGCTTCTTTTCCTATAATCTCCATAGTTTTATATTACGTCCGTAACAACACGGGGTGCACATATTTTAATAATATTATTCACTGAGGGATGGATTAAAAAAAGAAAAATAAAAAGAAAAAGAAAAATAAACAGGAAAAGAAAAACATCGGGAAAAGAAAGAAAATGTTTCAAATAAGATGAAGAAAATTCTTAAAATGGTAATCGTAATATCTCTGTTGCGATCGTACGTAAAAGACAATATAAAAAGGGTGAAATCTGATGTATCAGAGTCGCGAGATTGAATTCGACGTATGGCTTTTCTATATGGATATGTATATACGATCGCACATATTCGAATGCGTTCGAACGCGAATTTCGTAGGATCGAAGCTAGTAGTAATAGTAGTAGTAGTAGTAGTAGTAGTAGTAGTGGCAGGAACCTGCTACGCTGTTGCAAAGCGTGACGAATAAACGTTCTCTCTCTCTCTTTCTCTTTTCTTTTTTGATTCACCTACGAGTCTCTACGAGAGCTCTCGATTCTACGGGGTACCACCCTAGGGACCAGGCCTGGGTGCCACTAACGGAAGCACGGGGTGGTTGCTAGTGATACAAGGGGTGGAAGTGGAGGAAGGGGTGCCTGACTTTTATTACCCCGTCTGATGTTATGAATGCGAACCGAACGAAACAGCCCTGGGATGCAGCGCGACAGCACCCTTCTACCCCCTCCCCCCTCCTCTCTATCTCTGTTTCTCTCTCGTTTTTTTCCTTTTTCTCTCTTCGTAGCCACCCTCGAAGCGGTTATGCTTTTTATCGCGATGTATATCGTCGCCGCGATTAACGACGGTTATGAGCGTGCCGATGTAATCGAGATCACGCTCGATCATTCTCTTTTGACGTACCATGATTCCTTTTTTTCTTTTTTTCTTTCGGCTTTCTTCTCGTTATATTCTTCGCAGGTGGATGCAACCGATGGGGATGGTAACGATATATTATTTGCGTGTGCGTGTATGTGTGATTTTTTTTTATCGTTAATATATTTGTGCCTATAATTATGAAAGTGGTCTAATGTAAGTAAGACGAAATTAAGAAGAAAACAAAACAAAAAGATAAGTTTATTAATTATTTCACATGAAATTATTTTGAATTAATATAAATTAATTCAATGTATGTTATTTCAATATTATACGGAATTCATTTAGCGTTCAATTGTAATCCTTTCAATATTTCGAAACAAGAGATATATGACACCACTTTCATAATTATGGACACATCTATGGTAAGAAATAAATTAATCATGTCTATCGTGATGTTTAGTATTTATTAATGTAAATATTTGATCGATTGATCGATTGATTTGGGATTTTCTCGTAATAATATAATAATAGTTGTTATTTCATATTATTTATCTCCTTTTGCGAAAGATATGATATTATTAAAGACGACATAATTTCTTTAAGGGGTGAGATCCAATAGAAGACGTTCGTTTATAGTAGTTCTTTTTAATAATCGTTTGATGAAAGAGAAATATTTTGCGTACTCGTCTTCCTACCCTTTTATACGAAACGAATAATATCGTTGGAATGATATTACCCTGCCGAAGCGGACTCGACATCGACAATTTCACTCGTTATCTCTCTACTTTGAGAGAATAATAGCTTGGGAAACTGCGAAGTAGAGCAGAGAGAGAGAAAGAGAGAGAGAGAGGATCGACTATAACGAGAGGTTATTCTTTTAAATTACGAAGAAACGTGTTAGAGCATTTATCTCTATACAAGTATTATATAGCATTTTATCCACAATACTTAAGATTATTTATATTTCCTTTTATTTTCTTTTGAAAGAAAATGTTTATTGTTCATTACTCTTTAACAAGTACCTATTTAAATATATATATATATTTATTTATAATTAGATTATAAGAGAAGAAACATTGGTATAATTGTAACGATAAGATAAAGATATATGTATGTATGTATATGTTTGTGTGGAATTGGAAATGTGACGTGCATATACACAACAAACCATGCCTTTCCAAAGCGTCTCCGTTTCATATGGATCTAACGGAGCGATCGAGGGGAAGCTACTGGCATATTTCAAGCGAAGGAATGCTCTTTGATCATGCCCACAAAGTTACACCATGTATTATCGTTCTACGCACGTTATTTCGAACGTTTCCTCTCTTCTTTCATCCTATCCCTTGATATTAATAATCCTTTGTGTTACGGCAAGTTATTTTATTGCGACTGGAATTCGCCATCCTTCCTTTCGTCGTACGTATACATATATATATACACCCACATATATATGTATATAAATATATATTTATATATATAAGAGAGAAAGCAAAGAGATCGAAAATGATTATTATTAGCTCGAAGTCGTTTAATTTTTTACTTTTGATGATAAGAAAAAAAATAACTATTTGTAAAGTGAAACACACAAAACAAGTTATAATATTATTTATTATTTGTATTCGTCTATAAATAAGATGAATTTATTTTTGATTAGAGATTAGTCGTGAATATATTGATAAAAGGAGGATGAAAAAGAAAAACAGATATGTTTTTTCTTTTTTTTCCCCACGTATTAGATTCTTATCGTTGAATTTTAATTTCGTATCGAGTAGTTCGAGCGACTATTCTCAGTCGAGAGGATCGAAAAACGAATCGCGGATTAATGGAAATCGGGCGGGGCATAGATACATATATATATACATACATACATATACATATACATACGTTGATATCGTGTATACCTGTGTAAGAGGAAGAGAGTGGAGAGAGAAAGAAGAAAGAAGAGAAAAAGTGAAGCGTAGGAATGGCGGTCGAGAGTCGTCGAGGCATACACGTAAAATACATACATATCTATATATGGTACACCGGGAATTTTAATATTCGCGAATGATAAACAAAGTGGGTATCTAACGAAGTGGATAGAGGTACAGCGTAATAAAATTTGCGTTTGCGTTTCATCGTGGTCGAGCCGAGGGAAACGTCACGAGCGGTTTCCTCCGATTTCAATTACCCTCAACGACGGAAATATATGGGCGTTCGTTCCACCAAACGAAAAAAGAAAATAAAATATATATATATATATATATATATAAACGACGACTACGATAACTACGACGACGAATACGACGACGACTACCAACAACAACAACAACAACAACAAGAACGCAAAGGAAAATGCAAAGAGGACCTTTGCAATTTCAATTTGTCATGTAAGCTGATAACTCCGTATCGTTTTCGATGTATACGTATCCCTATGTACTTATCTCTTTCGAAAGGTATTTAATCCTTAATTAAAATCTAACTTTAATGTTTCTCTCCTATGAAAATGTATTCATTCAATTACGCGTAGAATATATATATATATGATATCTGTGGAGTTATTTACGATAACTCGTTAGATTTAAATAAGCCTTGAAAATCTGAATTTTTCGAATTTTAATAATAATTACAAAATAATATTACAATATCTCAAATTTCGTTTTTCTTTTCTTTTTTTTATCCCTCGGCGAATTGTATATAAAACTATATAGTATATATATATATATTTATTATAAAGGTTTAATGCGGTGCAGTAATTAACAAAGATACCCAGAGAATGGCATCTCCTTTGACGCATTTCTCGAATTTCGGAAATTCAACGGATTTCAGATAATGCTCTGTTAAATTTACCGATAGGAAAATATATCTCAATCTCAATATTATTATTAATGTTAATTTTGATAATATCTCTCTCGTTTAACGAGATATTTATTATTAAATCTAAAAACTCTCTTTAGAGTCGGATAATTTACGAATTATATATAAATTAAATCAAAAATATTATTTAAAAGTCCAATTGTGGAAATAAATTCAAAGAATCTTCCAAAAGCATTGATTTTTTCAAAAGTCACAAAAAATGATGAGATAATTAACATACTTTTCAACATAATATTAATTCAAACGTAGTTACATTCGAAAAATCTCCACTTTGATGAAATTATTACGAAGATGTAGTAGTAGTAGAGGAGAGAAAACGGATTTGCTATAAAAACCGCGTTTTAATCTGTCCCCTCTCTCCTTCTCTTTATTTCCCAGTTTCTCTTAACTCCAGCTAACCGGGTGCTTTCTCTACCCCATGCCTTGCTGCTGCTGCTGCCGCTAGTTACGAATAAAGGTAGAAGAAAGAAAAAACAAAAAAAATCATTGGCGTTGTGTAGGCAGAGGATGAAGAATACGAGATTCTAGAAGAGGTGAGTGAAAAAGAGGGTTGGATGAGAAGAGGAGTGGTAAAACGGATACGAAAAGGTAGAAAGAGAGATAGAGAGAGAAAGAGGGATGGTGGGAGGAAGAGTGAGAGAGAGAGAGGGAGAGTGGAGGTGGGGGGGGGAGATAGAAAGGAAGGGACGTAGAGACAGAGAAGAGGACAAAGCGGCTGCTGCTGGTCCAGAAAGTGGGATGAAGAGAGAGATAGATACAGAGATAGAGATAGATATAGAGTTTTGCGAGGGGTAGGGGGTGAGACCCCACAAAGGCAGTGGGGCTCTTTTGATTCGCGAGCTAATTGGAATGCCGCGGATGCCAACGACGATAGAGCAGGGGCTGGGATAACGTGTAGGGAGGGGAGAGAGGATAAAGAGCAAGAGGGGGTGCTCCAAGTCTCGATGTAATGCAGGATACGATAGGCGGAGCTTACATCCCCCATACAAGCTGATTCTACATCGCGATATCGAGGGGCTCATCGGCTTCTCGACTTTTTTTCTTCTTTTACTATCGGTTTACTATAAGTATAATATTTTTCCCGGAAACCGATGCGCTCGTTCGTTCATTCGTTCATTCGTTCATCCATTCGTTCGTTTATATACGTTCATTCATTTGTTCATTCGTAAAGTTTCGATAATATTTTTAAACTTCTTACGTGTTCTGTCATATTTAGAATAAAACTTGTGCTGCATATTAGTTGAAAATTATTTTTTTTGTAGGAGGACGCGGACGTGCTGTATTCCTATAGCAGATATTTAAATGTTATACGTTCGAGAGAGAGAATGTTAAACAGAGAGTTACAATGATCGTTATTATATTTCACTGGTTCCCACAGTTAAGTAGTTAATTAAGTTAATTACATCAATGCGATTAAGGTGAAAGTAGTTACGATAATTATCATGATTTGTGATTCGTTTGAAATTGTACGGCGAGTAAGCTTATTCTCATTTTCGATCGATTACTTTTTATTAGTACGATGCGGAACGATGATAGTCAACATCATCGTGCGACACTTCCCACGCGACACAGGAACGTTTTCTTTGTAATCCTTTGACACGGGTCGAGGGCTAATTTATCACGGTGACAAAAGGGATAGGTGAGTAACGAGCGAATATCAGTTACCGTCACCATCCCATACGGCATGACTTTCCTATATCACTATCCAAGTGCATACGTATATGTGAAATCCTTCCAACGTAATTTTAAATTGATTAGGATTTTTCTTTTTTTTTTCATCTTTTCTTTTCTTTTCCTTGTTCTTTCTCTTTTTTAATCGAAATTCCACGCGTGTTCGTATTTATTTTGAACGAATTTTGGAAAAAAAAATCAATGTTAATTTATTATTCGACCTATTACGAGGACGTTTATACTTTTGTTGGATTGCTGATTCCACTTAATTTGCTGATCCGTTAATTGATTTTTCTACGTTTTGAATGAAATTACAATTTTGACCCATCTCTTGTCCAACCGAACCCCCTCCCCCCACTCCCTCTTCCCTCACCTGGCAATAAATATTATCCTCTTTCGACGGACGAATAATAATAAAGGTATCGAGTTTAATTGGACAAAGCGTAACCCTCCATTTTCAGAAAGGCAACGGAGTTTCATCGTGTTATTAATATTTTAAACAAAAGCTTGGCTCGGTGCTTTTACCTTTGCTATGCCGAACGAGCTTCGTTTGGTCGTAAATTTAAATCGTCGAAGGGGACAGGGGGAAACAGAGAGGTAAAAGGAATTAGTCGATGTTATGCCAAGTAGAATGAAGTGATAGATTAGTAAAAAATGAATTTGTCGAGAGATGGATGGATAAGAGGAAAAGTGAGGTATAACTACGGTCCCATTTCGAATGTACAGATTCAAGAGTTTATTCTCTGCAACATGTACGCGCGTATGGATGTAAAGTACGTGTATAATTAAATGTAATGTCGTCACGTATTTACAATGCATTTCCAATGCCAAAAGAAATACGTACACGTTAACTGTCGTACGTTTATTTCTTTTCGTGATTTTTGTGGACATTAAAAGTACATATTTCGAGAAGTTAAACTCCTAGAGTCTCTTCTTAAACCTGTTATCACTATATGTACATCGTGCTAATAATTTTACGTCATTTTTAGCGAAATTCTATATCACGTAACACTCATTATTAACACACATCTACACGTTTCGAAGACATTTACAAAAATATATATTACACAATCGGTCGGAGGGAAATCATTGGGATGCGCGAGTATCTCATGACTCTTAATAAGATTATTTTGAATTACATCTTTTTTTTTTTTATCTTTCTCAAAAGCGTCATATTTGGTTTTCTTTTTTTTGTCCCTTTTATTTTATTTTCTTTTCTTGTTTATACGTAATACGAGTTCATTCGATTTTCTTATTCGACTTTTCACAAAAAAAAAGAATCACGTTAACACACTGATACGAATAATTTGGTTTTTTATTTAAAAATTTTTTTTTTTAATTTTTTTCTTATCTTTTTTTTTTCTTTTCCTCCCCCCGGATAATACACACTCGCCCAAAACACGAAACGTCTTTGAAAATTTCGGATCGACGTTTCATTCAAATTTCCCCTCGAACTTTTAACACAACCTTAATAAGTAGGCTGTTGTTGTTGAGCACCATAACGAGAGAACGATCTGGTTGGTCCACGCGTTGTTGTTTGCGCAGAATGTCTCGTCCTATCGTGAACGGTGTTAGCAGAAGGGTCTCTCAAATATCTGTTGGTCATACAATCATTTGGAATATCTTCGGTTATCGGAAAATCTTCCGATATTTCGGAAATCCCTTTCGAGCCCTTAGATCGTCGTGGTTTTAAAGTTTGCAAAGTTGATCTTATTGATCTGTAAGATCCTTCGATATCCTCGCAATTATGTTTGTTTATGTTGCAACGGCCGCATAGAATTTTATCAACTGCATCCATATTGTCGCCTGATGCGTGAAAACAGTATAATAATAATAACAATGAAATAATATATCACTTATGTTTTCACAATTTAATATTCCATTTCTATTTCTATATATATATTGTTTTTGTTTGAAATTAATATATTTCGAATGGGATTTGTATATTACCGAAAGATTCTTTCACGATATAATCAGGATACTCTTGGAATCTGCAAACGTTCTTCTTATTTTTGGTTGATAATCTGCTACCAGAAGGTGCACCACATCTTATACATTTTTTGGTATTTTTATTTTCCGAATGTAATAAATCATCGACGTCCTTTTTAGGTTGAGATCGACGAATCGATTGATTCAAAGAAGGATTGGTATCGTAGCGATCGGATGAACTTCTAAATGGTGTCCAATGTTGATGATGGTTCGTTCCTGATCTTCTAATAGAACTTTTTGGTGGTGTTGGTGGTCGTACGGGTTCCTCATAGGTATAAAGTTCTGTTTCATCGCGATCATCGAGATCTTGATAATATCTGTTTGAATAATGAAACACAATTTTTTTTTGTAATATAATTATTATATTATTACTTTTGATAATAATTTTTAATGCAATTGGACGAACCTTATTCTTGATGGATGACTGTCGTACGAGTTTTGTATGTATTGTTGATAACGAAGCCTACGTGGGTCTAGCTGTTGCTGTTGTTGTTGTTTAATTATTCTCGATCTTTGTTGTTCTTGTGATATTCCATCTTTTTTAGGTCGTCTTTGCCATTTTGGTGATCTCAAGACAGTTGAATCAGATTCTTCATCGATTTCATCGTCAGCTTCGTGTTCCTCGTAATCCTTATCAATTGACTCAGTTGTTTCTTCTTGATCTTCCTCAACTGTAGATATGACAGTACGTTGTTGAGATTTTAAACGAAACTTATTCTGAGATTGTTAAATTTATAATTGTCGAATATACGAATACCTTCATCAATTGCATCCTCCTCGGCGTTATCTTCAGTGAAGTTTCCCAATTCCTCGTCAGCGTATCTTACGTTTTCATCGTCATCCTCCAAATCGTTTTTCTTATAAATAGATTTTCTCACTATAGCGACATTATTGTTTGTTGCGTAAAGTTTGTTCCGAGGTGTTCTAGTATGATTGTGCGTAGTCCATCTATGTGGTTCTATATTTTGAAACGTCGTGTATTTTGTGTGCATTGGAGATTCATAATTGTTACGTTTAGTTTGTTTGTAAGAATTCATAGAGGGATAATAATTTGTTATTTGTTCGGCCGTCGCATTGAGTTGTTTCCTAAAGACACAGAAGAATCTCTTTCTAATAAAAATTCTTTACGAAACGATATTAATTCTCGTATATTTTTGTTTGTTTAATATTAATTAAGAGATATATTACATTTATACAATATTGTAATTAATTAGAGTACTTAATTACACATTGGTAAATATTTGAATGCTTACCTATTATCTTTGTTTGACGGAACGGATGAATTATGTTTGTTAACATATTTCCAGTTCGCATTCGAAGAATCTCTGACATTTGTTGTTTGATATTTCGTGGACCACGAAGGCGTAGGTCCATTCGTATATTTTTGTGTTTTGTTTTTCTCAGTTTGTTGCATGATAATGAAATATTATCGCAGTTAATTTTTATTTTTTTTAGTTTCTTATCAATCGTTTTCTACGCCGTGAAATTTCGTTTTTAAAAAATCGTCCTAAACGGAGAGGTTTCTTTTTTTTTCTTTTTCCTTATTTCACAATATTTCGACAATTGTATATCTAGTACGATTTCTCTGTTCAAAATTTCCTTTCAATTGGAATTAAATTGATGATCTTTTTCTATCGTATTACTTGATAGGAAAAATTCGTTATTCCTCTTGTATATAACAATAACTTTCTCTAAAATCACAAAATGACTCGTCTTCGATTGGTTTCCTTCATGCTTTTCAAATGAATCGACAAAAATTCGATAAACGATGTTACAATCGTATTAAGTGTGTGAAATTAGATTAAAAAAAAAGAATAAACCAATTAAAAAGAACGCAATGTCTTTTTTCTTTTCTTCAAAAGATCGTCACAAAAATATATAATTTGAATATTTTTAACTAAATATGTGACATTTGAAATCGTTGTAATCGTCGGATCGGTTTTTGAAAATACGAGTTATCAAATAAGAAAATGAAAATAATATACGATTGCAAAATGAAGAGAAGGGAAACGACAAGAAGGGGGCGGTGTCTCGATCGTGATCTAAGAAGATGATCGAGATGCAAGCCTCTTCACCATTTATCTGTTTCGTTGCAGTCCTCGTGTTCCAAGGACGTGCTCAACGATCGTTGAAATTCTTGAACCCTCTGTGTTTGTTGTTCGTGGTGAAGCTTCCGCCACTTGATTCGACGATTTTGAAACCAGACCTTGACCTGCGCTTCGGTCAATCTCAATGCGTGGGCCAAGTATAATCTTTCAGGACCGACCATGTATTGTTGACGAGCAAATTCGCCTTCGAGTCTTTCCAGTTGTTCGGCCGTGAAAATTGTCCTAACTCTCTTTGATTTTCCTCCGCCGGGTGAACGTAAGCTCGAACTTCCGTTCTTCGTTGAACTTTCTTGACCTGTAAAATATACGAAAAAAATACTTTCTCTCCAAAACAATCTCATAATATTCTTTTCATTCGAGTCAAACATGTATTATATTTCTTTTTACGGTCCTCGAATAATTATAATTAATTGTGTTGTATAAACAAATAGGTTAAGTTCCTTTATCGTCTGTCAATTTATATACGATTTAAGATTCGTTAATAACAATAATTAAAGTAATTCTCACTTTAGAAATTAATTCACAATGAAAATTTCCATATTACGATCTGTTTTTCACTAATTTATAATCCGTTTTAGCGCGTAAGAGTTTCATAAAATTTGGAAATTGTTCTCACGAACGTAACTAAGTTTAAAGTCTGTCAAACACGATAACCGTTAATGGTTATTGCATTGACAGATAGAGTTGCTAATCATCGTTGTCAATCGTTGGCTTTTATTTTGAATCGTGCGTTGGCGTGAATATTTGAGCTTGTTATAAATAAATAAAATAAATGTGGCATGCATAACAATAAATTTAAATATTTACGGGAAGTACCCTGATGTTTTCTATATTGTTGCTGTTGTCCACGTTTTTCTCTTTGATTATTTCTCAAACCAAGAATCGCATCTATGGTGAAAGATTTGGCCTGTTGTTGTTGTTGCGCTTGAGAGTGTTCCATTTGCGTGATGGAATGCGAATGGGGAAGTTGCGTCGAGAGATTTTGTACGGACAAATCGGTGCCTAACAGATGGGAACGTCTCATACGTTCCAAAGCGATCGCTTCTAATTCAGGACTTCTTTGTTGCACTTGAATATTTCTAAATTCACCGTGCTCCAAAATAGCAGGATTTTCCAAAAGTCCGGCATTGCCGCGTAGCCTCTCGAGCGTTAGATTACTTATATGATTGTCTCTAATCCGATCTAAGGACAAATTGAATTCCTTCATACGATCTAATCCATAATTTTTCAACAAACCAAAATCCTTTATGTCTCTTTCGATACCAAAATTAATATCCTTGTTGCATCTGTCCAAAGACGAGAGCGCCGGGTGTGCATTTTTCTGTCTTGTCTCGCGTAAATTGAAAAGCAAATCTTTCGAGGTTGAATTTTTCGATCTACAAAGTGACGTTGTCATTTCTATAGAATCATCAGCAGGTTCGTTTGTTCTTTCCAATGAATAATTCAAGTTACTTAAGCCGTTAGTGGTGTAACCAAAATCTTTTGCTTTGTTCAAGGTCATCGATACACTGCCTCCTCTTGTAACGTCGCTAGAAAATTCATCGAAACGCATCGACGTTCTACCCTCTAAACCAATGTGAAAATCTTTCGGTTCGTTCGACGTGTCCTCTTTATTTTTATCCACCGACAAATTCAATTCTTTGACTCTTTCGTAATCTTGAAAAGCTCGTATTTGCGGCTCAGAATGATTACTGTCGCTTCTACAATCGGATAAATCCTCTATCGTCAATCGACCCGTCGGATCGTTCGTCTCCATAGCTTTTAACCAATATTATTTATAATTTACTTCTTTTTCTCGCGCAAATATTATTCTCTTCGCGAAATATTATTATTATTATTATATTTATATTTTTAACTCAATTATATCTTTGATTACTTACAAATATGTCGTAGTAAAAGTCCATCGAGTATAAAGTTTATCACTCATCAAAATATATTTATTACATCACAATAACAATTATCAGTCCATTGTCTTTTCGGAAATAGTCCTATCACCATACACACACAATTTCGTTACCATTAGTTCATTTCACTCAAAATACGATCGTAAGAAAAATTACTAAAAACTTCTTATATTTATATATATATAAATAAAAAAAAAAACAAAACAAAAAACCTATATGCAAATCGTAACCGTCGGAAAGAAACAACACGCGTCGATTGACGTTTACGTCCCCCCCGAACAAGTGTTCCTTACTGATAATCCCGTTTGTATTCTTTAGAAAGGATTCAGATAGTTTTTCGAAGGACGAGAGTAAGGAAGAAAGTGGCAAAAGGTGTTGGAGCACGAATAGAATAACGAGAAAAGGACGAGGAAGACGAGGTTTGGTCTCGACGAGAGTCGATCCGCGCTGGCGCTTCGGAGCATCCGAGGATAATGATGTCAGCCACGAGAATCACCGCTATCACAGAAAGTGAGACAGAGACACAGATATAGAGATAGAGAAAGATAGATAGATAGATAGATAGATATATATATATAGATATATAGGTAGGTAGATAGATATATATATATATAGAGAGAGAGATAGCGTGTGTATGTGTGTATGTGTATAAAAGAGAGAGAAAGAGATAAAGATAGAAGGTAGGTGGTGGCAGAATTTTGTAGGATGGTGTTGTAGCAGGGTTGGCCAGTGGTGGCAGGAGCAAGGATATCTGGCTAATGATCCCGTACGTGATGAGAGGGGTATTCACCGATGTTGTCTGCTCTTCACCCTCTTCCAGGAACCGTCTTTCACCTCCGCAACCCCCAAATGGACCGCAGGATATCCTCCCGATGTACGGTCAATATTTTTTCGTTCGAACCGAGGAAGGCCGAGGCGAACGTTACGTCTCGAGTCCTGGTTGGCCGAGTCCTGCCATCACCACTAGTCCCTGGGACACGCCTACTACTAAGCGAGTTGCGCTGCGTGCCGGGTAAACGCTTTAGGGTATACCTAAAGGGGGTGGTGGTAGCCTTGTTTGCGGGGAGTCTGTTACTTTTTTCCACCACCAGCCGTTACCCTTCTTGCCCTGCCACGTCGAGTTACACGTTCCTTCCTCTTTCCTTCCCTAAATCTTCCTCTTTCTTCTTCTCTTACTTTACGAAGATGGTGGGAGTTAGATAGAGATAGATAGATATATAAAGATAGATAGATAGATAGAGAGAGAGAGATAAAGAGAGCCATTAATAAGCTTTCGCTTAGAGACTAGGAGCTGTTCTTGGCCAAGGGGTGCTCGTACATATACGAGAATGAACACGAGTAGATCCGAGCAAGGTCTTAGCCAACTGTGTAGCTAGCTAGCTAGATACCTAGCTGGTTGGTTGGTTGGCTGGCTTGGCCACGGTTCAGACCGAGAGTGTCTTTGCTTCTCAACGATGTCATCTGTGTTTAAGACGTAGCGCTCTGCTAATTAGCTGTCTCCTCTAATTATGACGAGCTACTTTCCTTTTCCTACCATAGCTTTTTCCTTTAACTCGATCCCTCCTCCTCCTCCTTCTTCTTCTGACGTCTCCGTTTTTCCATTGCTTTAGAATTCTCACAATTTTTCATTGTTATCTTTATTTCTATAATGAAGTATATTATTTCATACGAAGTTATTTTTTTTTTTTTACTTTCTTATTCTATCCTTCTTTACTTTTCTTTTTTATTTGTTTTGTTTTTTTTTCGTTTTTTCTTTTTATGTCCTTTATTTTCTCGATCAATAAGAAAATACAAGGGGGAAAAAGAAAAGAAATAAGATTTTTTTCTTAGATACGAGGATTCGATGTAATTTAATGGAGAGTGTAAACACAGTTCTAAGGTAATTCTCGCGTCTTCGCATCGAGTAGTGGGGTTTGCTTAATTGCTTCCATCTGGGCCGAAACTTCATCCACAATCCCCTCATTAGATGTTGACGAGCGTGCGGGAATTTCAGAACCTCGGAAAACCTCTAAGGAGCTTAAGGGTGCTTAATTACGATGAGCTTTTAAGTCATGTCAAAGGTATGCTTAAGGCATGTTACATTGTGAAAAGTAACTTGTTCGTGACCGACATCATTTTTTAATTAATATTCATATTCTCTAACCTTTCTTTTTTTTTCTAATATTTTTATAACTTGTAATTTTATCGATTATCTTCTTTTCTCTCTCTCTCTCTCTCTCTCTCTCTCTCTCTCTCTCTCTCTCTCTCTCTCTCATGTATATTATAAATATAATTTATAATACTAGCTCTTATATACGATGAGATCTCCAAAGAAATCCCTATGGGGTATTGTGAAAACTTGTCCACTTACCTTGTTGGCACTTCTATGATAGTAAAATTAAGCTATAAATTCGAAATTTACTTGGAGAACCTTCTAAATATTTTACAAAACGAGGAACGAGCTCGTGTAATTACGTCATATATTTCGCAGCGTGCTAACTTTGTCGCAAACTTTGGCATTGTAGGATCTAACCTCGCGGAGTGTGATACCAAGGAGGATGAGGAGGAGAAGGAGGGGCGGGGGGCGGCGATTTAGGAATATGCAAACTTATCGCAGGCATAACGTATAAAATATTGTATTCTCTCTTACTTGATCGCGGGATAGTTGTTTTTAATTAAAATTTCGAAACT